TCTCACTGGGCACGCTAAGGTGGAAAGGGGATGTATAGGGTGGTGAACACTGCTCATTTAGCCCGAATCAGGAAGCTTCACGGAGGAGAGGCCGCTGAACTGGGTCTTGGAGATTGAGAAAGAGTTCTGTGAAAGAATCATGTTTCAGGCTGGAGTGCGGCCTGTCCATGGAGTTGGCAGAGGCGCCAGAAGGCATTTGAGGTGGACGGTGCTGGGAGGGCTGGGGGAGGGGCCTTCCGCCGGACAGGGGTGAGCTATCTTGGGGACTTCTTATTGCCATCTGTAATTCATGTCCCCTGAATGGAGCTGACTCCCCCAACCTGGGAGGCAACTCCTCTCTGTGAAAATCAAAGTGACCATCTGTGGGCCCAGCACTTTCCAGCTGACATGGTGCTGTCCTTCCTAGTTCCTTGTCTTTCTTTACCAGCACTGTGAAGTGAGACTGGCCAGGACCTAAAGCTCCTATTTTACAGATGAGGAAGGTGAGGCTCACAGAAGGGAAGTGAGCAACTCATCTTTGGCGGAGCCAGGCCTGGAATTTCTCGGATGACCGGAGTCTAGAGGTTGGGAGGGAAGGGAAGGAGGGGAGGGCTCTGGTGCCCAGGCCCTCCAAGGGAGGGGCTGGCTCTGTGGGACCAGATGGGGTGACAGGCCCAGCAGGCTGGGATGGAAGATCATACCCACTGGGTCTTGCCAAGGCTAACCACGCTGGGCTGGCACGCTTCTGTGGCTGAGCCCCTCCTGGGTGCTTTGGAAAGGGGGGGCGGTTCTGGCCTGAGGGAGCAGGAGGGACTGGGTGGCGGATTTGTGTTTCCACTTGATTCCCTGAGTTGTTTTCCGAGAGCTGGGGCAGGATCCCGAGGGGCAGGGCGGAGGTGGGGGGGCCCCCGGAAGGCGCTGTGGCCTGGCTGCCCGCTCCCCATGTGACAGCCTTGCCTGACGACAGCGCCTTGTGGAAGGGCCTCAAGGCTTCTGTCCTGCACTTGCCTGGTGAGTGTGTGACGTGGACCAGGGCACAGGGCCCACACTGGGTGACTTCCCGCGTGACCCGCACCGTCTCCAGTACAATTTCCACTGGGGCCCAACCCCTTTGACCGTGAAGTGAGAGAAGCTTGTGGCTGCCGCCTGAGCCCTCACTTCAGTGCAACCCCAGGGGGCAGTACCTGGGTGCCCTGAAACCATGCGACCCCAGTTCTCCCAGTTCCCCACCCACCTCCCCAGTTGCCCCTTCTCAGCTCCGTGCCAGTTCCCCTTCCGCCGACTCCTCCCATCACCATTTTGGGCCTGCTGCCTTGTCACTGGCCATTTGTCCCCTGACTTTCCCAGGCCTAGCCATGCTGGGCTCCCTGTCCCCACTGGTTATCTTTCCTGCCCAAGTTCTGGCCGCTGGGCCTCAGGCCTGTCCTTCCACTCACCCATGTGTTCCGGTCCTGTTAGTGCCTTCTCAGACCACGAGGGGTGGGGTCAGCCACTCCTGGCCGTACAATCTGCTTGGCCCCCTCCTGGCTGTGTGTGGTGGCAGGAGAGTCCCAGCCTTCTCTGGGCTACAGCTTCCTCCTCCGTGAAGCGGGGGTGATAGTAAGGAAATCAGGGACCTCCCAGCACTGGATCTAAGGAGACAGAGGCACCTGGCACAGGGTGGGGTAGGCTGGGGGAGGGAATGGAAGAGCTCAAAGGAGCCAGCGCTCTCTCCAAGTTAGAATCTCAGCTGGACAACTGGACAAAGATGACATCTCTTTGAGCTTTGGTTTCTCTTCTGTCAAATGGGCATAATAATAGTGACTTCCCCTTGGGACAGAATGAACTACTCCCAGGGGAAGGATTCTCAGCTCTATTTGGGGTTCAGGAAGGGCTTACCAGGGGGCTGTGAGGCATAGCTCTGCATAGTGAGTCAAAATCAGCCAGCAAAGGCACTGCGAGGCTGTTCCGGGGGAAGGGCTGGGCCTGAGCAGAGGCAGGAGCGGGAAACCCAGAGCTTTAAGCCAGAGGCTGGGGACATGGAGGTAAGACTTGGGGTTCTGGCCTAGGAGGAGCTGGGGCTTTCTGGGATCCCACCCCAGTCTCCCCCAACACCTTCCCATCCAGTGGGCTGATGTCATCGTTCCTCTTCTCTAAGCTGGCTCTTCCCTCTGTGCCTTTCCTTGTGCCGGTCCTTCTGCCTACAAGCCCTTCCACACCTGTTGGCCTACGCAAACCCCATCCATCCCCCATGATCCACACACAACTGCTTCCTCCAGGAAGCCTTCCTTGCCCATGCCATGGCCATCTCCCCCCCCACCCCCCACACACACCTCTTTCCTTTTCTCCTTTGCAGCACTGCCTGCCGCACAAATCCACTGAGTTGGATCATGCTGTAAATGGCACACAGGCCTGGAACTCAGCTGGAGCCCAATGAGTATGTATTAACCGTCGCTATAGCAGCCTCCATGCGAGCTTTACACCCATGCAGTGCCTGCACACCTTTCACCTCACCTGATCCTCGCCACCATCCTATGGGGCTAGAAGGGATGGGGGCCCATTTGACAGATGAGGATGCAGAGGCCCGAGAGGCCAGGGGCTGCCTAGGAGCCCACAGCAAGTCAGTGGGGGCAGACAGGAGCACAAGGGTCTCTCTCTCTCTCACCGGCCCCAAGGTGCCTGGCCCAGGGCTGAGGCCTTGTAGGGGCATGTTTCCTTTCCGTTCAGTTGGAACCCCTAAGTCTGTCATGTTTGTGTCCCTTGGGTCACACAGCCTCCATCTCTTACCCACTGGCCAGTCTGCCATCTGGAGCTCCACTGATACTGTCATTACCTTCTGTAGCACCTGCCCCACTGTTCCAGGCCCTTGACCCTGGATGAGCTGAGGGGCATCGGGAACATGTAGAGGGCACAGGAAAGCCCTGGCACTAGGGCACAGGAGGTGCTGCCCTTCCCCTCTGGTGACCATGAGCCACCACTCCCCTCTCAGAACCCCTGTTTCCTCCCCTGAAGAATGAGCTGCCTCCTTTCATGCACCCACCAAACCTGCGAGGTGCATGCTGTTTCATAGATGAGGAAACCGAGGCTCGGGGGCCAGGGACCTGCCAAAGGTGGAGGCAGCCGTGAGCCCAGCTTTTCTGGGCCATTTGTAATGTCACAGCATGATGGGGCTGGGGGTTGAGGGGAAGGGAATGTCCCGAGAGCTCTTTGTGAAGCTTTAAACACTGCCTGAAGAAGAGGCTTCCTTCTTCAACCAGGGTGTCCACGGGCAGGGTTCGCCCTCCAGTGGTTCCACCTCAGGTGCCAGGAACCCCACTGTTATGAACGGTTCAGGGGGCAACCTTGCTCTCTGTAGGACCCTGCCTGTCCTAAAGGATCAGGGCCTCATCGGAACACTCTTCCCCCAAATAGCCTTCCTCTCTTCGTTCAGATCTTTGTCAAATGTCACACCCTCCAAGGGGCCTTTCCTGACCACCATGTCTAACGTAACACCCCTCCTGTCACTCTCTGCCTTTAACCTGCTTTGTCATCATAGAACTTGTGGCCACCTGCCATTAGTTGGTGTATTTACTTGTCCGTCTCTCTGACAAGAACATCTGCTCCCTGAGGGCAGGAGTGCTCTGTTTTGTTCACTGCTGTAGCCCCAGAGCTGGGACAGTGCTTGGCACACGGCCAGTGCTCAACCTGTATTTGTGGAAGTAAAGGAGGGACGGAGAGGGGGAGGATGGAAGGACCTTTTTCTTCAACTGAGAGCAATCTACTGCCTTTTATTCATGGAGCGCCTCCCACGTGCGGCCTTGTGTTACATACTTTTTGAACAAGTAGTGTCAGCAGGGATCACAGCAGCTCACTTGAACCAGGCTGGTCTGAGGTAGCAGCGGTCATTAAGTGAATACATGTGAAGTGCCCAGAGCACAGTGGTTTCTTTTAGTATCATCTGCCCTATTATCAGATGTGGTCTCTAGGAGCCTGAGAACCAGGGCTGGTGGGTAGACGGTGGGGGAAGGGGAGAAAGCTGGGTGAGGATGAAAGAGATTTAATTAAATTTTAGGAAGAACTTTCTAACAGACAAAACTGTGCAAAGACGGAAGGGACGTCCTTAGGAGGAAATACACTCCCCGTGTGCGAAAGGAGGGAAGGAGAAGCTGGGTGGCCTCGGGACCGGGACCCTGGGACCTGAAGCCAGAGATGCAAGGATTCAGGGAGATCCCCTCAAGGTAGGGTGGGCCAGGTCCCGGGGCTTGGAGTGAGCAGGGGTCAAGCGCATCTGACCAGGCCCAGGCAGTAGAAGCCACGGTTCCGGTCCCCGGGTCCAAAGGCTGTTGGGACTTGGCAAAGCAGCCATGTTGGGACTCTGGTCCCATCAATGCAGACCAGTCTAGGAGACAGGAAGTCACCCAGCTCCAGCCCAAAAGACCCCCAAGTGCGCCCTTACTGTCTCCCCACCTCCCACAGTGGCCTGGGGCCCATGGGGTTAACTCTCTCCCTGTCTCTCTCTGCTCCAAGTTGTTTTCCAAGCGAGGCAGAGAATGCTTCTCTTGTTACCAACATGGCTTCTGGGCATTGGGTAATGTGCTCGCTCGTCTCCCTGCCCTGCTCCACAAAGGGGCCTTTTGTTCCTCTCCCTGCCCCTCTCTCTCTGGCTCTTCCCCGGCCCCCCACCCACCCCAACTCCCTCCTCCCTGCACCTCCCGCCCCACGCTGCACCCCTGGGCTGTGAAGAGTGACCGTGGC